ATTTTCCTATGTTCCGAGGGGTGAATCGATTAGCTTGGGACCGAAGATAGTACCAGAGCTGAGCCAAAAAGTTGAGCTCGTTTCTTGGGGACCTTCTGGTCTTAGAGTTACCTCTATGGTATTACCACCGACAAACCGATATGAATGACCATAGGAAAAACAATACAATTTCTGATCAAAGCACACTACTGACATCTGGCTCCGTGTTCGCGGGAAATATTTAGCTAAGCCATGAACCCGCATGCAAAAGTTATGAATTGGTTCGTGTCTGATCTATTATGGACAAATTATTTTTATCTAGATCAATACATCTTATGGTTTTGACGGTTCGGATAACTGCACATTTAAATCGGCCGTTTACGATTTTCGGGCATAAGTCAGAATTAAGTGTCATGTCGGTTTGTCGGTGGTATTACATCGCGTAGAGTACAATTTTGTTGTAGCTTTAGGTACCAGTAACACTTCCTTCAACAAAAAGCAAATAGATCCGCACGGCAAGAGAGCACGATGCGGACTGAAATTTAATTTCTTAAATTCAGTTACCACCCTGTGTATGGGTCAAACCGGGATTCAAGATTTAAGTGGCAGGTGAAGAAAGGGTACAAAGTCAGGGCTGGTAGCGAGACACTTTTTAGTGACTTGGTCACTTTTTTCAAGCCAGTCACTAAAAAGTCTCTTTTTTAAGGCCAAGTCACTAAAGTAACTTTTTCTTGTAATAAGTCACTATTTTAAACTTTTTAAACGTGAAATTATTTCAAGATTGATCATTCTTCTGAATAGGCCTACATTTTGTTCTATTTTGTGAACTATTCAAAGTTGACGACCTTTTTTTACGTTTAATCATTCTTCTCTATCTACAGTGTGTCCACTCATTTGGCTAAATAAAGTTCCCTGAGTTTTTCAGGTTTTTCCATAACTTTGCGGATAATTTCCAGGCTTATAATAAGAATGCTATGTATGAAATGCTTTAAAAATATGTTTTTAACGCAAACGTTTTTAATAGATGACAATCAGTTTTAAAGAAACAAATCCATTAAATGTTCAAGTTGAACACTTCATTTTAGTAAGTCTAAGATCACAACATTTTTAATGAGTCTTTAATGAAGTTCTATTGATCTCAAAAAAGTTAGATCTAGAGATCTTAAGGGGAAGTCCCCGAAACTATACCCCAGACTATTAAATTGGTTTAAAAACCTATAAGCCTGAGTTAAGACAAATAATGTGCTGAAATAAAATCAAGAACCCATAAGATGTTCCGAATGATTTAGTACAGAGACCTTCAGAAATTTTATGAAAACGTCAGAAATATTTCCGGGACTGCACAGAAATCCAGAGATTTCCGGAAAGTTTAAGGGTGTTCACGAGAATTCCATTTATTTTAAAGCAGAACCGAGATCTTCATTAGAGTTGAGAGTTTTAGTGAAGCTCCGAGAACATCAAGACAGATCAGAGAATTAAAGGGCAGTTCAAAAAATTTCAAGGAAGTTGCAGAAACCGGAGTTTTCGGAAATTTTGGATTGCTCAGAGAAAATTTCTGGAACGCAATCAAAATTATATGAACATCCGGAAAATGTGAGAGTATTTCAAGGGTGTTATATCATGGATATACCAAGATCTAAAAAAATTCGAATATTTTGCTAAGTTGATTAGAGAACATCAACGAAGTTCCATTAATTAAAGAAAAAAAACGAGAACTTTTAGCAAGCACCGATATTTTCAAGAAATTCCAGAAACTTCTAAGAAATTTAGATATTTTTAGATTGTTTCATTATATTCAGTGAAGTTCCGAGTACTTCGAGAACGATCAGATAACATCAGAAAATCACATTAACTTAAGGAAATTTACAAGGAGTTTCTTAGAACTATGGGATATTCCGAGAATTCTATGATGATCCGAAAACTTTAGCTTCAGGGAATTATAAATATACATCAGAAAATTTACCGGAACATTTGATTAATTTAGAGAAATTAAGGTAAGCATAGAAAACTTCTGGGATGTCCAGACTTTTCAGGGAAAATTAGTGATTTAAGGCAAAGTTCCGTAAGCGTTTATAAACTTTATAAAAATTAAGGAAAATTGTAAAGCTTAAAGACAATTAAATCAATTCCAGTAAAATGGCGAGTTTAAAAAAAAAATCTAAGATATTCAGGGCAGTCTAGAGAATTTTAAGGAAATCGAGAAATATTTTGGGCTGTTTTAAAAACATCAGGAAACAGTTTTAAAAACTTCAGACAAACCTTGCGAACTTCAGTGAAAATCATTGAACTATATGAATTGTTTCGCTGCGGAAGCTTAAAGAAGTTCCTGAAATTTCAGAATAACTTTGAAAACTTCACAGAAGTACAGAGATCTTCAGAAACAATTCGAGAACTTCATAAAAGTCTATGGAACTTAAGGGAAGATTCGAGAACTTCAGGAACTTTTATGGACATTTCTGGAGCATCTCAAATAAGTTTAGAAAAGCTCCAAAAACAAAGGGAATTTCAGGGGAGTTCAGTTCCATAAGTTTCACTGAATTAGCGGGAAATTTAAAGAAGTTCCCAGATTTTCAGAGAACTTAAGAGATGTTAAGAAAATTATTGAGGTTTTCACTTAAGTTCAGAAGTTCACGCAAGCTTAAACATTGGTTAGAACAGTTCAATTAAATTTATGGTAGTACAAGAAGATTCATTAGAACAACACTTAAGAGAAGTTTCGAGAACTTCTAGAAAGATATTGATCTCGCTAATAAAGCTCAACTATAAAAGAATTTGAAGACTATTTAATTAACTTCAGGAATATTTTGGGAACTTTCAAGTAGTTCTGAAGACCTCAGAATAGTCCATTCTGATTTCTCATGAAAATTCACTTGGAGTTTACTATCTTAGGCTTATGCTTCACATGAAGTCTAAAATTTCTCAGAACTACCATGAAAGCAGATTGCAGTTGATGTTTTTCTCATAGTTTTTTTTCACAGAACTCTCGAGGAATGACGTCCTTAGAAATAATAATACAATTTCGTGAGCCTTAAAACTGTGCAAGGAATTTGACTCCAGATTCTTGAAGTATTACAACTTTTCAGTTCAGAGTTGATAAAAATACATATGCATATCCTAGAACCATAAAAAAAAACATTTGTTACTGAAGATTAATTCATTTTGGATCTATAAAGTTCAATGTGTGAATGAAAATAACTAGGAATATTAAATGTTTTTATTTTAAAATGCGTTCTTAGTAAGAAAATTATTAAATTCCATGAATAATGATAAGATTCCCTGAGACTTCCCTTCCAGTTATTTTCAGGAAAAATAAAATTCCCTGAGAATTCCCGGTTTTTCGGGTTTTTGCGAGGGGGGCGACACATCTAAATCTCGATTCTAGATGCTCAAAAAATCTCACACTAGCGAATAAATCTTCGAACAATCTTCTTTCATTTCTCGCATCTACTTGCATCGCGCGTCATTTTTTTGCAGGAAATCTTCAAAATCGTGATAAATCTTCTTGCTATCTACTCAGCGTACGCGCAGCTAGCCACAGCAAAACACAATATTTTCTGCATCGTAGATAGAGTCGTCCCCCTCGGGTTTTTGTAGGTAGTAGAAGCTTGGAGGTTTAGTCATAAACTTTCTATTGATTCTTTCTCTTTTAAGGTTCCTATCTAACATATTAAGGTGATTATGAGAATCTAATTGAATAAGTCTAAAACATCAAACATTTACATATTTTGTATGCCATCAGGACGACTAATTTTCTACCCTTAGGTCACTTTTTAGTCACTTTTTTACAACTATAAGTCACTATTTGGCCACGTATTTCTTCAACATTGTCGCTACCAGCCCTCCATTATAGTACGGCAGTGTGAAAATGATATATATGATAAATGGTACACTGCCGTACACCAAAATATTTTAGGGTGTAGATATAGGATGCATCTTTGTTTACAAACAAATGATGATGAGCTGTCAAAGGCTCGCGCTTATTCCTACTTACACTACACTAGTGCTACACCGCAAAAACGAAAACGACATAAGAAAATTTATAGATTGCTTCGATCTGGTTTAGGTCACAATGTTGCTACGATCCGCGAATGTTTGCTTTTGTTGCACTGGGCTCCATGTAATTAAGTAACGGAACCTTATTAAGAAAATTATTCAACTGGGAACTGGGTTTTCCACCAATACCCCAACCCTGAATAAATTCATTTATTTATAGTTATAGTGTAACGAACAATCTTAGTTTCCTACTTGTTTTTCGGACCGTGAAAAAAGATACAGTTTCACAAGAATTGAAGAACACACGAATAGCTGTTTGACTATAAATAATACTCGCCCATGAACATGCTCAATTCCTGCTGGACAGAACACTAAGAAACACCATCTTTTTCAATAACTCAAATCATGCTTAAACATATTTCAACAACACAGTAATTAGTAAGTTGACTAGTATTTATATCTGCAAGGTTGTTCACCAATATGATGAAAGTGTTGCATGCTTCATTGTTATGAGCGGCGTACAATGTATCCGGATTCGATCCATTGTCCAACTATAACATTCACCGCAAGGTATCAAATCCGGATGCATTGTGAACCGCTCTTTACATGGAACGTTGTCCAATAGTCCTAGACGTACCTATACTTCATTCCAAAGTTCGGTAGCACAGCGTCAAATCAAATTCATGAAAGTTTGTGCCATTCATTGTTCACCACCTAATGCCATCCAAAATTCAACCATCCGGATGAACTGTCATTGCTGCAATCATTATCCATCTGCCAAGCGCTTTGTTTGATTTCAGTTATGAAGAATCATTTCGTTTATATTAAGTATACTACTCCCCCGCGTTTCCGCTTTTAGTTATATAGCTATGTTACATTCAAATATATGTCACTAACACTCTCTGCAATCTAAATAATCCCAAACATTCCCAACAACCGGGTCAATCGCCGATAAAAGCTAATCTGTGTTTTGTTTTGTTTTTGCCATGACTCACTTCGATTCGCTTATCGCACCGGACGAACCACAGGAACGTTCCGCAGGTCAAAGATTGAACATCATCATCGTGTCGGAGGGTGCCATCGATCGCGAAGGTCAACCGATCACGGCCGAGAAGGTCAAACAGGTGGTGGTCGACAAGCTGAACCAGGACACTAGGATTACCGTGCTGGGCCACGTGCAGCGCGGTGGCAACCCCAGCTCGTTCGATCGTATTCTGGTGAGTGCCATGCTATTTTTTTTTTCATCGCGATTATTATTATGATATTCAACCAACCATTCTAATCCGCAGGGTTGCCGCATGGGTGCCGAAGCCGTGTTGGCTCTGATGGAAGCGACCGACACCACCGAACCATGCGTCGTCTCGCTGGACGGAAACCAGGCCGTGCGTGTCCCGCTGATGGAATGCGTCCAACGTACCAAGGCCGTCGCCCAAGCCATGGCGGATAAGAACTGGGAAATGGCCGTTGAACTACGTGGTCGTTCGTTCGCCCGGAACCTGGAGACGTACAAGATGTTGACGCGCTTGAAGCCACCGAAGGAGGTTTTCGATGCACAGGGTCGTGGCATCGGAGGTTATACGATGGCTGTGATGCACATCGGTGCTCCGGCTTGCGGTATGAATGCAGCCGTTCGATCATTCGTCCGGAATTGCATTTACCGTGGTGACTCGGTGATGGGCATCCACGATGGTATCGAGGGTCTGATCGCCGGCAATATCAAGAACATGGATTGGTCCAATGTAACTGGATGGGTCGGACAGGGCGGTGCCTTCCTGGGTACCAAGCGTACTCTTCCGGAGGGCAAGTTCAAAGAAGTTGCTGCCCGTTTGAAGGAATTCAATATTCAAGCTCTGCTGATCATCGGTGGATTTGAGGCTTACCACGCTGCAGGCCAGCTGGCGGATCAACGCGACAACTTCAAGGAGTTCTGCATCCCAATCGTGGTCATTCCGGCGACCATTTCCAACAATGTTCCTGGAACGGAGTTCTCTCTCGGTACTGATACCGGTCTGAATGAGATTACCGAAATTTGCGATCGTATCCGTCAGTCGGCTCAGGGTACCAAGCGTCGTGTTTTCGTCATCGAAACCATGGGTGGCTACTGTGGCTATCTGGCCACGCTTGCTGGTCTCTCTGGCGGTGCCGATGCTGCCTACATCTACGAGGAAAAGTTCTCCATCAAGGACCTTCAGCAGGATGTCTACCATATGGCATCGAAGATGAGTGACGGCGTCCAGCGTGGTTTAATTCTGCGTAACGAAAAAGCTTCGGACAACTACAACACTGAATTCATCTTCCGCCTGTACTCGGAGGAAGGCAAAGGACTGTTCTCCACCAGGATGAATGTGCTGGGTATGTTTCCAAATCGTTCAGTAGCAAAGACATTTATACATCTTTCACTGTAGGTCACATGCAACAAGGTGGATCGCCAACTCCTTTCGATCGAAACATGGGTACCAAAATGGCGGCCAAGTGCGTCGAATGGTTGGTTGAGCAGCTGAAGGCCAACACCGCTGCGGACGGTACCATCTGCGCCAAGGGTCAGGACTCTGCCTGCCTGCTGGGATTGGTTCGCCGCCAGTACAAATTCTCCCCGCTGAAGGACCTGATCGCGGATACGAACTTCGAGTGAGTATTCACTTTAGACAACTGGAGAGTAAACCTAAATTTTAATGGAAAATTGGATAAAAAAAATCTAAGACCCTTGGCCTGATATAGATTTTTAAGATGAATCACTTTGAAGAACTTTTAAAGAGAATTTCGATGAAAATTTCATAGGAATTTTGAAAAGATGTCAGAACGAATTCAAGAGGTAGTTCAGAGAAAATGTCCTAGGGAGTTTTGGGAATAACTCTAGGAAAGTTTTAATTAGAAGCGGAATTTTGTGAGTTCAGAGTAGAATTGTCAATGGATATTTTTGGTAGCTATTGAAAATTGGGTCGATTGCTGAATTTATGTATGGGCCCAAATTAGGGACATTTAGGCCCATATTACATCCATTTCCCCTACTTTTTTTGATTTGTCTTGACTTGTCCATCTCACCACTGTAGTCGTTTAAGGCTTGCTTCTTTGAGTGTACAGTTTCTGGATGTTTGGTTGTCCACCTTATATGTGTATGTTGTTTACTTTCAGGAATTTCGTGATTTGCTTCATTTCTTCTTCACATCCATCCGTCAGGATGTTTTCTAGCGGTTTCATGTATTCCAGTGCCGGAAATTGGGTTCTATTTTGGTTCTAGCGTGCACAACCGAACAGGATGTGATTCATGTCTTTAGTAGCTTCACACCAGTCACACGTGTCATCAAGCTCGCCTTTCTATCCTTAGTGAGGCAGTGTCCACTTCTCACTCTGTTCAAAACTTTTACATCATCCGGCTGTATGGCTCCATATTTTCGTGTTCCATGAGTTTGTAGTGCCATTTTCCTTTCTCCTTTGAAGCTTCCTTGTTCTTCCGCGTCCAATCCTCCCAGACTTCTGTATTGCTGAGGATCAACGCATCTGCTAGTGTGATCCCACGGAAGAAGGACTGGTTATCCCGTGCTTTGGCGACCGCTAACTGATCTGCTGACTCATTACCTTTTTATTCCGTTGTGACTTGGCACCCACTGGATCCTGATGGCGTTCCCTCTGACAGACCGGAATTCCTTGTAGATTTCCCACAGTATGTAGTTTTCCTCGAAAGATCGTTCATTCAGCAGCATTTCGCAGGCGCTCCTAGAGTCAGTGAAGATGACAGCTTTCCTGTAACCTTTCTCCTTGACTAACTCGATTGCCTTCAGTATGCCGAGCAGTTCCGCATTCGTAATCGTGAAGTTGTTATTGATGCTCTCTGCCACGCTGATCGCATCCGTTTCATCGAAGACAGCGAAAGCTGTCCCCAAGTGTGTTTTTGAAGCATCGGTGTAGATGCTGTTGTGTTGCTTATACGAGTTCTGAATTGCTTCCTAAAACAGTGCCTGCCATACTACTGCAGGGGTGCGTTGACATCCCGTTTGGATCTGCGGCAGAATGTGTTTTCCTCTCGTGAAGCACGGTTATAATTTCCTCGTCCTTAATGGCCATTTCGTATCCTTCAAGGATCTTTTCCGTGTCTACTGACGGAAAGAGAACCTCTCGGAGTTTGTCCTGGAAGTAATGATCCATGAACTTTTCTCCCTCCTCGCGCGTGATTTCTATTCCTTTTTTGTGCCTTCCTGTGAGCGCCGTATCGATTCCTTTCACCATGTTCCACAACTGCCTTGCACAGTGGTTGAAAAGTCCATTTTGAAGCTCTTAATTAATAGCACCATGGAGAGTGAATTTAGAGTAATGACGTCTTCAGCAAAGTTGGTGAGTATGACATGCTTTATCTTTTGAAGGTACGGGTTTTGTGATTAATCCCCCTAAAAGTGAAATGGAAAATTTATTTTTTCACAATGTCGAGATAAATGGTTGACGTCCTCAGCAAAGTTAAAGCAAAAATAGTTACCAACAACTTTGCTGAAGACATAAAAGTCGTAAATTCCACTCAAATCGAGATAGAGAGCGTTGTTTGAGCGCAGACCCCCAAAAACACGTTTTTCATCAAAACACATATTTTCTTTAATTTTAGGTCTTCACTATGTTCAACATAGTTGATCGGTATACTAAAATACACACCTTTCTAGAACATACTATACCTGCATCATTTTAATAGGATGATTTATTGATAAATTTTCTTCTATTTTCCTCATATTTCGGACTTGCGTATCTTTCTTAGGTGCAAAAAGGTGCAGATGAAATCAATTGCATCTAAGACTACATTTAAAGAGCTTTCAAACTTGTCCGTCCACGACCGTCTGCTGAGGAGTTGTGATCAAAACAAGTATCCATATCTTTACTCTGTTGTATGATATAACCAGAGTAAAAAAGATTATCAACTTCAATATATCCACATATTTTTCTTCAATTAAAATCTTTCAATCTTCGATTGGTTTTCCATTTTTGATGTCAATATTTTGTATTGTATTCAATTATCATCATTATTATCATAATCATAACCATTAATATAATCATTTTCATTTCCTTTAGCTTCTTCTGCTAGCAGCTGTTTAGCATCACTCGACAATGACTTTTCGTACTTTTTAGGCAATCCACGAATACTAGTAATCAATGGATCTGATGAGCCAGTTCAATAGATCACGATTTTTAAGCGATCTTGATTGCTTGCGAGTATTGAACACTCGGTATCTGTTAAATAAAAGTTTCCAGGTTACCAGGTTCGATAGGTTGGTGTCGATTAACAAAGCCAAAGCCTGTAGATCTGTGTATTTGGGTATAAGGTTGCTCAAGGACTTCTTCAAAGAATGAACCAACTTATTTTCATCTGCAGGACTTGCGTGAGACATTCATCGAAAGGAACAACCTTCCGTCCTGTCACACTTTTCGCATTTTCAGAAGTAGACGAAAGCAAGTTTAAAACGTTTTCCGGAAGCGTGAACGGCTTACTGAAATACTCGGTGTGACACTTGACAACCATGCACGAGCATGTTTGGTCCAGAGCTTTTGAAAAAAAGTCGCACATCGTTTTCATGGGTTTTCCGACATGTGCAGCCACATCCGGCATAATATTCACATTTACGACATAACACTGGAGTACCGTCTCATAAACGCAGTTGAATTTTGATGATCGGCCTCCACTCGTTTTTGACCATAGTGACAAGAGGTCACGCTTATCAATTTCAACTTAAATTGAATCTAGAAAAATCAAATCATTAGCACTTGTTGTGATCTAACGATGAATTGAAAAATATAAAATAAATTAAGCCCTACCAAATAATGCTATTTTATTTCAAAGTCCTGCTCTCGTAGTTTCTTCTGCTGTCCGGTTTCTTTGGCAGAATTAGTCTCTCTCTATCCTTCGCTTGGCTTCCGCAGTTCTTCTATCTTACATTCTTTCATATACTTTCACAATTCCTTCACGCTTGATGAAAAACAGTGATGAGCACTATGGAAAAACGCTTATCGACTCACAAGTTTAACTGAATTTGATAGATTTTTTCGTTCTTGATGTTTTAGTTTTGTCTTCTGGTAACCGTTTGAAAAGAAAATGTGCAGTTCTTGAATTTTACAAGCTCTGAGAAATGTTCATGGAGCCGGTAACTATGGAAACGAATTTATTACGCAGTAGAAAACAAGTATCCCCTTGTTATTTACATGACTTCTATAAAGCCTATCAACGGGTGTTTGTTTTTATAACAACTCTCCAGCTAACTTCATTTTCACCTTCTTGCACCTAAGAAAGATACGCAAGTCCAAAATACAGGGTGCGTGACGAATTTTTGCAGTAAATTTCAAATAGTAATTTCTCATGCTTGTGCATCATGATTTAGATATATTTGGCAGCACTGGATAGCTTATACTGTTAGGTGTAAGATTTAAATAAACAATGTTGAGTAAACGTAAAGATGTCGAAACAAGAGAGCAATCTGTCAGCCGTTGTCGCTTTGTTGCGCGCCGGAGTATGCATGAAAGAAATAATTCGGTCGGTAAATGTGTCTGAAAGAACAGTGTATAATATTAAAAAAGGCTTGGGAAAGTTTGCCATTTAAATGATCTTTATTTCTTGTGATTGTGTTGTTTACATGTATGAATTTGTGAAGTGACACAGATGCGCCTTTTCAACTTTAGTACATTTGAGATTTTAATTATTATTTACAGTTCCTAGTCCTATCAGACCTATTTTAAAGTATGACCACCTTGGTGGGATTGGTTTGATTTGAATTGGAAAAAGGAGACTACTTATAACTACTATTTACAACTAAAACTAACCTACAACTACTATGTACACCTAACCTACACTTGGGAAAGTGATAAGACGGAGCACCTGCTCATACTGCTAATAAAGCACAGAAATGGCTTACGGAAAATATTTCGTAAATTTGGGAGGAAGAAATTTGGCCCCCAAGCAGTCCCGATATCAATCCATTGGATTATTTTGTATAGGGCATCGTCCAACGGGATACCAATAGAACCCCTCACACCACACTTAAGTCGCTAAAAGCTAAAATCAAGGCAGTGATGACATCTATGGATCGAAACATTTTAAAACGTGCACACTGCAGTTTCCGGAAGCGTCTAACTACAGTCGTCGAAAGGGAAGGCAATTTTTTTGAATAAATTTACTTACAACTTCCATATGTTGCGAAAGAAAATAAATCGCACAAAATTCATTGCTAGAATAACTAACTGGTGTATTTTTTCTCAAATATGCCATTTACTGCAAAAATTCGTCACGCACCCTGTATGAGAAAAATAGAAGAAAATTTATCAATAACTCATCCTATTAAAATGATGCAGGTATAGTGTGTTCTAGAAATATGTGTATTTTAGTATACCAATCAACTTTGTTGAACATAGTGAAGACCTAAAATTAAAGAAAACATATGTTTTGATGAAAAACGTGTTTTTGGGGGTCTGTCCTCAAACAACGCTCTCTATCTCGATTTGAGTGGAATTTACAACTTTTATGTCTTCAGCAAAATCGCGACATTGTGAAAAAATAAATTTTCCATTTCACTTTTAGGGGGATTAATCACAAAACCCATGCCTTCAAAAGATAAAGCATGTCATACTCATCAACTTTGCTGAAGACGTCATTACTCTAAATC